CAACGGTCTTAGAATGGCATCCAAACCAGGTTGAGGCTTGGGGATTTCTACAATTGTAATCCTATTAATTACTTACGAAAAATCCTAAAGAACAGAGAAAAGCAATCGACATTAGACAGATTCTTTAACCCTTTCAAACGGAAAAAACATGACTAATAAAAACGCAAGACTGTGCATGTATGTATTTTTATTATTATGTATAAATAAACATAGTAAGAAAGTATATATTTTTTTTATTTTTGGCAGTCTCCAGAACGAATTAATTAAATTCCCATTAAAACCTATGGTAAATCAATAATCGGTTAACGAACAATTCGGATAGCGAACAAAGTCTTGGAACGGATTATGTTCGTTAACCGATCACCCACTGTATAATGTACTTCTAGATTAATTAATGTTATAACCCAATCCATAACAGTGAGGTCTGCTCTACTGAATTTTGTGTTTATTTCAACAGAAACTTCAGAAAATATTTTTATATTTTTTGTTTCCGCCTATGTTTTGCTCTATTTTATGTGTGTGTGTTCCTAACCTCAGTCTATATTCATTGTTTTTAAAAGTGAGAAGCTTTCCTTTTCCCAATACATTGACATATTTTACCAAGAACAAATTACGAAAAATACTGAATAAACATTGACTATTTTCATTAACTACAACTAAGACAAACACAGAGAGAACTGGAAATATTGAACTCAAATTGAAACAAGTAATAAGGTATGCATTTCTTGTGAGAAAACAAAGAAGTTTCATTTATAACAAACAATTGGATTGCACTCTCTCATTTTTGATTGAGAATATATACATAAACGTATAGTTTATTTTCTGTTCCCCTTTCCTTTATTTTGAGTTCATTACAATAAATATAACATTGATATCATGTTTAGATTGAAACTTGTTAAAAAGAAAAGTACTCTGTGTTCACACTTTACTCAAGTAGTGACCAATTTCTTATTCTAGCTCAACTAAATTCAAAGTTTACAGTTACCCATGAAATTCCAACTTTCACAAATTTTACTGTACAATTAAGATGCATATATAAAATAACTATGCAATTCTCAGTTCATAAATTTACACGATACAAGCTACTACAGATGCATATTTTTTTATTATTATTATAGCCATCAAATTACAATTTTAAACAATTATCAAACTTAAAACACTACAAAACAAATTCAAAGTAATTTTTTTTAGGAAAAAAAAAAGGGAATTGATGAGACATTAAATTAAATTGTCTGTATAAAAAATCATATGAATATTGGTACTACTTTAGCATTGAACACTATGTGAAACAATATTTTTTTATTATTTAAAAATAACTGATATTCAGGTCATATTTTTAATAGGCCTATTAATTTGTGAAACTTTTTATAGATTTAATAATTAATTTTAAACAGTATCAATCAAATTAAAATAATTCAATATGTATTTGTCTTTTATGAAAAATATTTACAGTAGAGCATCGATTATCTGACCCCCAATTAACCATCACATCGATTAACCGACCATTCTATTCGGCAAATTTCAAATGTCCACTAGTGATGTGGCACTACAATATTTGGCTATGTCTTGGCTACTTTAATATTATTTTTGTTAAATTTTTGCATGTTTTAGCTGGCAACACGGCGCGACCATTGAAGGGAGGCCAGTATTTAAACGAGACTTAATTTTCTAATTATGAGTGGTTGTTTGTNCTATATCTGTAGTGTTTATTAACAAAGCACTGATCACATGAAATGATGTAGTTCATGCCTTACTGATAATGCCAATGTCCAGTTTTAGAATATGAGAGGATATTTAAACAATGGAGAAATAAATTTTAGTTGGTTTCAAAAAAACAAAGTTTCTTCTTTATCCATCTAACCTTCATTGGAAAGATTGCAGATTACCTAAAGTAAAACCTAAATTTTCCTCTTGCTTTATCTAAAATGGAATGAATAAAGCCCAGATTTTAAGTTTTGCCCTTGCTTTATCCATCCATTTTTGGATAACATCAGCTTTACCCATTTTGACTTGGATAAACACACTTTACAGAGGTAAAATTCAAAATTAATAAATTGTTATTTGTTTTAACTAAAAAACAAATAAAATTAACAATAAATGATTAATTTTCACTTTATTCAATTCATGAGCTACAGCAAGACATATAGACATAAATAACCTGATTATTTGATAAATGCCAAATAAACTGCTGAAATATCAGGCTAGGCAAAATTACTTAGTATTCGATTATTAAGAGTAGCCATGTAATCCAGCAGTTTGTTTGGCATATACACTTGGCATATAAGTTTTGAAATTTAGTTTATTTAACTAACTTATAGTAATAATTAATACTTAAAATTAAAAGTAAAGTGCATAATTTTTCAATAACCAAAAAATAAAATAATATTAAATGCTAAATAAAATTTGTTATAAATTATCCAAATAAATCAGTATTACTATTTATCTATCTATCATTAAAAAATGAAATCAACTAAAGAATACTGGTTGATGATAATCAATTAATTATTATTCAGAAGTTTATGCATATTGGAATATTTTATTCATCTATTATATTTCATACTAGTAGCCCAAGACAGCCCCTAGTAGGTGTTCTTTACAAATTCCCACGAGGCATGGTTCCTTTGACTTTTTTGTTCCTATCAATATGCTCTACAGCTCTGTTAAAGTCCCAATCGCATCATACAGATCTAGATTTCTACCTATTAAACATTCTATAAATACTTTAAAATAGTTTAATTTGTTTATTTACTTTCGCTTGTAAACCTCAATTTTAAATGTATCCGCCATTTTTTCAACAAATTTCCCGTGAGTCAATGCGCGATGTTCACTGAGACACGGGATGTTGTAAACATGTGGCACAAGGTTAATCAAGGCATATAATAATTATTTATATCATTCCATGGTATAAATAATAAATTCCTATTACAAATAAAAATAATGATGTTAATTTAAAATTATTGCTGGGGTGCCCCTAGTGGGCATTTTAGGTAATGGATACCGTTACAGATGTGACAATCACTTATATATATAGAAAGATAAAATCAATACATAAATTTCTATCTCTTGAATTTTTCTACTCTAATGTTCATATTTACAATCTATGTTTCAGAATCAGATACAAAAGTTAATTGATAAACTTTCACATTTAAAATTAAATTAATGTTAACTTCAGATTCTGATTATTGATTGTAAATAGGGAAATAAAGAGTTTTGATTACATAACTTGAATGTGATTTTCATGTATATTTCTTGTGACAACTCTAACTTAGTATTATTCGTAGATAGAAAAAATAAACTCCACTCAATGATCTGTAATCTACACTTTGATTATATTCTGTTTCTTTAATCTCGGTATATAACCGGTCAAAATATCTTAATTTTCTAGGAATTATCATATCCAAAGATGCTATAATCACTAGCCAATCAGCAACTTCATTTTACCCAGAAGTACAGTATTTCAAATATTTCCCTCCTCAGTGAGTTTTCTTCCATAAAAGCTAAACATGGCACATACACTTTTCTGATATACTAGTAAATCTACAAAAACTACAAAAAATTTACAATATACAATCAATTATCAATTATTTATTGTAGATTTACTACTGTATCAGAAAAGTGTTTGTGCCTTGTTTAGTTCATATGGAAGAATCTACTAGTTATTATAATAATACTAAAAAAGTAGTAAAATTATATAATAAAACCTTTACAACAATTTCATTCAATTATTATGTACTATTAAATACATTCAATTATTAAGACTATATAACAAGGCTAATTTAATGATTTAATATAAAACATTTTGGCTATAGGTAGTGGTAGACTACCAACTAATGATAAATTTACCATTATGTGTCATGCATCAAAATAAAATCATTTTACTGCATCCTCATATGTTAGTCTTACGAAGAGAAGCTACTAAATATATTAGCCTTTGCAATATTAATTTTAATTGTTACTTTCTTTTGATTTATACTAGTAGACACAATAAGTGCTACACTTTTTTTCATAAATTGGTTACCAACTTGAACTGCTTTTGGACATTAGTTTACAGGTCTGTAACCTAAGATAACTATAGATAATTATTATCTATATCTGTAGTGTTTATTAACAAAGCACTGATCACATGAAATGATGTAGTTCATGCCTTACTGATAATGCCAATGTCCAGTTTTAGAATATGAGAGGATATTTAAACAATGGAGAAATAAATTTTAGTTGATTTCAAAAAAACAAAGTTTCTTCTTTATCCATCTAACCTTCATTGGAAAGATTGCAGATTACCTAAAGTAAAACCTAAATTTTCCTCTTGCTTTATCTAAAATGGAATGAATAAAGCCCAGATTTTAAGTTTTGCCCTTGCTTTATCCATCCATTTTTGGATAACATCAGCTTTACCCATTTTGACTTGGATAAACACTTTACAGAGGTAAAATTCAAAATTAATAAATTGTTATTTGTTTTAACTAAAAAACAAATAAAATTAACAATAAATGATTAATTTTCACTTTATTCAATTCATGAGCTACAGCAAGACATATAGACATAAATAACCTGATTATTTGATAAATGCCAAATAAACTGCTGAAATATCAGGCTAGGCAAAATTACTTAGTATTCGATTATTAAGAGTAGCCATGAAATCCAGCAGTTTGTTTGGCATATACACTTGGCATATAAGTTTTGAAATTTAGTTTATTTAAATAAAAGTTGTCTAGTACTGTATTGTAAACTATTAAAATCAATTTATTAATAAATTGTTCTGAACTGATTCTTCACAAAGAAAAAGAGCTAATTGAATAAGTAGTAAATATATTTGATTGATGCCAAATAAACTGCTGGGATATCAGGCTAGGCAAAATTACTTAGTATTCGATTATTAAGAGTAGCCATGTAATCCAGCAGTTTGTTTTGAAATTTTGTTTATTTAAATAAAAGTTGTCTAGTACTGTATTGTAAACTATTAAAATCAATTTATTAATAAATTGTTCTGAACTGATTCTTCACAAAGAAAAAGAGCTAATTGAATAAGTATTAAATTTATATTTAACATCTGCATTATAACAATTTAATAAATAACTATTTGAACAAAATGTTAACTACTAACCTGGACTCATCTGAATTTATGTCATTTTTTTCAACACCATTTTCTGTTTCATTCTGAATAGATACAGATGAAATTTCTTTTTTTACAGATGTTGAAATATTTGATGGTTTATTATCAATTACAAAGAAAGAGGAATTCATGTTATCAGCATCTAATTAAAAAAGAATCAATTAAATCAAAGTTAGACATTGAAAAGAAGTTGTTATAAAAAATCAAAACATTATTATTTTATAAATAATTTTTAATAAAATATTGTTTTAACAAATCTTCATTTCAGAGCTTAATTAAAACATCCATTTTCAAGATTTAATTATCAATACAATTAACTTCTCATAAACCTTTAACCGACATGAAGTAAAAATAATTGTTCAAGCAAACATTTTCGGATCCCCCTGGGTCCTTCTTCAAGCTACGAATTGTTTATAATGATTAATTAGAACAAAGACCAGCCGTTTGGAACGATATTTCAAATTGCAAAATTCGAAAATAGAAAAGGTTTGTGTTTAAGATTTATGAGAGGTTAATTGCATCTTACTCCAGTGTGTGACGATTCTTTATTAATTATTAATATATATTCATATGAAATTGCCATATAATAAGTTGGAAACCCCCAGCTACAGTGATTAACAGATGTTATCAGAAAAAACAATTACATATTTCAGAAATCAAAATATCAAAATGTAAGAGATAGAAGACATTTGGCTTTAAATATAAATGATTAAGAAAATACAGCCAAACTTGGTTATAATGAACAAAATGCCATAACAATTTTAATTTATGTGTACTTCCATACATTTTCTCATGATTATAATGAGTTTACTTCACGGATATACCAAGCAAATTTTTAGTAACTATGCAAACATACATTCTTAATTGTTCAAGTAATAAGAAATACAGTAGTGAATTCTTGGAAGAAATAAAACTTAAAGGGTTACTTAGTTTGTTGTTGTTTATAGATATTGAAATGAACAGCAAACTTGATTATAACGAGCACTAGGAGACCGGCAAAATTTCCATGTCATAACCGTTACTCATTATATCCATGAAGAGTAGTGACGTAACTAGTTTGACTGTATATTTCAATATCTATAAACAACAAGAACAATTTAAGGATAATCATAGATTAACCGAAAACAAAATTTGTTAGAAGTGTATTTAATTAATATGACAACTGAATACAAGCATTGTTGAGGATTTTTAATACTTCTCAAACCATAAACACACACACAGTGAGCATATGCAAATTCTTTCATTGACCATTACTTTTTTCTTATATGCTTTTCATTAACTTAGCTTGTCTGTCCGATCAATAACATCTTGTAATTCAATTTTCATCCATTTCCCAATTTCTGATGTACTTGTAATCAAAACTTTGCATATATATATTCCTGATGACAACATATTTTATTTAGAATTTGCATACAACTTCAGCAATTAGCAAAAAATTACACTTTATAAATAAGTCTGATAACAGATAGGTACTATACATAGCTTAATAAATCCTATGTGCTCATTAAAAAGTGGCAAAAGCCCTTGTCCCATTTTATCAAAAGTTATCTCTTCCAATTTTAATTTTAAACTTTAGCCCCATTTTAGCCTTACTGTCTACATAAAATCTTTTAACTCATTTTTTCACTCACTTCCCAATTAAGTGCTAAACAAGAAATTTGATAATTCACTGTTCCATACATTAAACTAAAAAGTATAAAATAAAAACAAATATGTAAAGAAACATTTTTTATTCATACAAATGCACTAAAAGATAAAGTATAATTTTTTTTCAGCTTTACAACATTCTTGGTATTATGTGACCAAAAATAAAAGTGTCGGCACTCATGTTTATAAATATTTTGTTACACTTTCTATAAATTTTTATGGGTTGCCCATGAGCATCCCATGTTTTTATTTTTGTACCTTTTAGTGCATTTATGCAAATAACAAACATTTCTTTAAAATTTATTTTTTTAAACATATATTTTATTGATAATTCTGATCTAAAGTTGAAACAAATTAAACAGATCAAAAAGATAAGATATATTTTTTATTTTCTACCTTATCTGAAAGCTTTACTTAATGAATTAATGTTCATTCTTGACTTACGCTACCCCGACTTACGTGAACTCGGAGTTATGTGATTTTCAAATCTTGTCAATTCGTCTTTTGTTTGAGCGCTATGCAACCCTTGATTACTTACTCCCCCACACTATTGTTCAGCTTATATGTTCGGATGTGTCGGGCGGAATTGACACATAGCTACATGTATAATTTATTTTGTGTTATTTATTTCTGTGTTTGTTATATCTACAAAGACTTGAAAGACTATGTGGTGATTTCTTGTAACCGTGAACGAATCAATAGATGAAATAAGATTAATGAGAACATTTATTAGCTTACATATAATCCGACTTTGATTTTACACAAATTGCGAAATTATACCCCGACTTACGCGAATTCGACTTACGCGGTTATCGCTCGGTCCCACCTATCGCGTAAGTTCGGGGTATTACTGTACATCATATGGGTCATATTGTCTCAATCTTTATAGGGGCAGGGGAGGGGGAGTAAAGGTTTCAAGATTAATTTATGAACAGCCCCTAATAGCGAGTTTAACATCACGTAATTACTTTCCAGTCGGCTCGTAAACTACATTACCCGTTTTCTTTATATTTTATCTTATGCTATTACCTTTTTTATAATTGGAAAGGTCAATTTTTACACCCGATGCATATTTAGATCGCGTTTCAACTTTAAAATTTACAACTGGTGTATTTATAAATATGCCCGCTACTTCCATCTTGCTTTAATCTCTTCTATAATCTATTCAATATCAAGATCACTAGACACGATTTATTACATGCGAATTAACACGTGCTTCTTACAAGCGATACTGCTGAGAACTTGTCAAGTGTTGCCAACTCTATCTTAACATTTTTATGACAATAAAAAAATTTTATTGTAAACACACGTAAAATTAGATCTCAAAATAATTTTACTAAATTATTTTTATTTATTTAAAAAAGTTAACCTAACATGATTAATACATTGACATTTTTAATAACAAATAAAAATAATGATATGATATAATCAGTGGAATTTCCTCTAAATTTAGGAGGAAATAAGTAGGATGGAGTATATTTGGGGGAAGAAATAGTTTAATGAAAAATGTAAGGTCTGTCTTTATTGGTTAATGGAATTTCAGCGGCAAGATTAGGACCGAATTCAGTAACGCAGAACGATAATTGTTGAGGCTTTACGACCTCCAAAAATTGGACCCGGGTTCGAATCCGGACGGGTCGAGAAATCCCCAGGAATTTTTCGGGTGATCTGTCCGGATATGTCGGGCCCCGTCCCTCACCACCCGGTCGCCCCATTGTGGGCTCGGCCAAACCCATAATGGGCTTGTTAAAAGAGGTCCCCTTAGTGCCTACAGGGCGGAAAGACTTAAAATAAAACCTTTTCCTGGTCTGTTTCTTGCACAATAATTTTCATCATGATTTCAGGAAAAAAATAAATTTATTTTACTTATATTCAGAATAATATATAGGATTAAATTTAGTCAAATATTTCTCAATCAATTTTCATTTTTCTGTTCCGACAATACGTAGGCAATTTTAAAAAATATCTTTTGAAAATCAACCAATCATTGCGCTGTATTGTTAACACAACGATTTAATCTGGCCAACTTCAAACTTGCCAAACCATAATTATTTCCACAGATGAATCTATAACCTAAATTTAAGATACCGATATACGTAAATATTTTTGAAAAATTAAATTATCTTTTATAATTAAAAGTATTCATACCAGGAATATGGCCCGTATAATCTGGCATAACACCCGTATCTAAGAATGGGAGTCCGTGATTTGGAAGATACTTCAATACTGGTGTCCTTCCGGATGGTGGTTCGACTGGTTCGATCCAATCCACTCGAACGGGTCGTTTTAACATGGTTCTACACTTGGCATTTTCGTGTGTAAATTTGCAAAGGGAACGATTCGTACCAGTAGAATATGCCATACCTCGAGTGTATCTCAATCCCGGGACATATCCAGTATATCCTAAAAGATATTAACTTTAATAACGATAAAGAATATTAAATACAATGAAAGAAAATTTTTTACCAGGAATAAAAAATTTTCTAGGATCGGCATTACTCATAAAATATGGTTTTTCTGCTAGAAAATCTATATTTGGAATGGATTCTGGCCAAATAGGGCCGAGTCTTTCTTCCGATAAGATACCTGTAGGTTGATAACTTTCGGGCTATATATAAAATTCTTAATTACAAATGGATCAATACGAAAAGTTTAATAAATGTAATTAATTATCTTACTTTATCGTGTGGTGTCCATCCAGTTGCAATTCCTGGAACTCTTTGCCCGCGATTATACGATCCAGGAGGTAATGATAATGGATCACTATACGATAATGGAGGATCGAGTGATGTACACTTTAAAGGAAATGGAGAACCAAGAAATTCATCACAAGTGGGTTTCGGGTCGGGTGGATGAGATTTCATCTGATTTATTTCAAAATTAGCAATGGCATCGAGACAATGGGCACGATATCGTTTCCCGTAAAGTTCATATTTAGTTGGAATGTGACCTTAAAATATATTATTTTATAAGCGAAAACATTATTATTATTATTTTCTGATGGTAAACTCACCTGTATAACCTGGTACTATATCATCTCTCAATTTAATATCTCCTATGGGTGGGTGTCGATTTTGAACAATATTCAATGAGAATTTTGATTCTGGAAAAGGATGAATAACATCGAGCCTTGGTGCTACTTTACTATAATAAGTAGATAGTAATTCATTTGTAGCTTGATGAGAAGTTTTTCCAAATTGATATTTCTTTTGTGGACAAAATCCCGTATATCTGACATATACACATAAATAATTTTATTATATTTTTTGTTTTGATTTTATTATCATCATAGTTGCTAACATTTTTTATTAATTTAAATATTTTCCCGCCATGTGGGTACTGAGAAAGCTTTTTCTTCATATCCATTATTAGTTCGGCCAGGCCCACAATGGGGCTGCCGGGTGATGAGGGACGGGGCCCGACATATCCGAACGGACCAACCCCCGAAAAATTCCTGGGGATTTTTCGACCCATTCGGGTCCCCCAGAGCGGTAGGCTGCCACCGTGACCGCTCGGCCATCCGGCCGCTCCTGTATGTACTAAGAGGGAATGTCCAAGAGATAGAAAGCTGAATTTCATTCAAGAATGAATTTGAATTTTTTTACTGAAGGAAGTGCAACAAGGATCGGATTCGAACAAGGATTCTTCACGAATTTGAGAAGTCAAAATTGGTGCAATTATCCTATTTAATCGTTAAATCATACTCACCCAGAAATAAAGTGCGGTTCCGGAGATACCTGAGGATGCGGATATGGAAGAGTAGGATCATCAGATGCCATTGTAAATTTTCGAATCAATAATAAATTAATAAACTATTATAAAAAATTCAGTTTATTGTTTATTTACGCAATCTTTTGTTTAATAATTTTTATTATTATTAAATAATGAACATATTTAACATATTTATCTATAAATGCATTTATGTACTAAATAAATTATAATTAAGACCATCAGCTTATATATATATTTGGCTCTTTCTGACATGTTTTTTTTTCAGGCCCGTTATGGGTTCGGCCCATAATGGGGCGGCTAGTTGAAGGACGATGTCCAAAATATCCGGAATCCCCGAGCGATCGGGAGTTGGTCTGTCTTGAATATGTTGAATTTGGATGGGTTGAAAATTTTCAAGGATTTTCAATTCGTCCAGATTCGTTCCCGGATCCCCTAGAGCAGAAGGCCGACACGTTAATTGCTCTGTCATCCGGCCGGCAACTATTTTATATTTTAAAAAATTTGATAATTAGTAATATATTTAAAATAAAAATATATCCGGAAATGAGCGACAAAATAGTTTAGAATAGATTTGATATTTTACGCTATACGAAGTATAAACTGTGTAAATAATTTGTAAAAAAAATTCCCGTTAAAAATCTGACGGCAGATGGCACTATGTGCAGAGTGGTGTATCTAATATGGGACGTAATGATTAGTGGTGTGTTGTTTTTCTTATGTTATTACGTAATTCCTCGAGATATTGGTGTTTCGTCATGTTCAGAAATAATCAGTGAGTATTAAGAAGATATTTAGTGATTAACTTTGTAATTGAAGGAAGAAGCAAGATGCATGAAGCATATCAGCCCATCAAAATTTTGAAAAATCTGCCCGTCCAGATCGAATCGCTAGCAGCTTATGAAGATAACCTGTTGGTTGCTACTAAACAAGGCCACCTCCTTGTTTATAAAGTCGATATGAATGTAAATCCGTCCAAAGATAACTATGCCAGGTTGGTGAGGTCCAGCAAAGGTTTTGCTAAGAAACCCATTACTCAAATAGAAGTAGTGCCAGATGTTCAGATATTGATTAGTCTTTCAGATAATACAATAAGTGTTCACGATTTAATTCATCCTAATTTTCAAATTCTGACCACCATTTCGAGAACTAGGGGCGCCACGTTGTTTGCCTTGGACATACAGAAGCAGAAGACGCTCACCGGAGAGATGCAGTGCACCGTCCGAATGTGCGCGGCTGTCAGACGAAAGCTTCAGTTGTATTATTTGAAGAACAGAGAATTCTTAGAATTGACGAATGATTTGGGCGTGCCGGACGTTCCCAAAGTGATCGCCTGGTGTGGAGAGTCTCTTTTCGTGGGTTTCAAATCCGAATACAGTCTTATTAAGTTGACTGGGGACCACAAGGATCTCTTTCCGATGGGTAAGAGTCCGGAACCGCTCATATTACGCTTGGAAAACGATCAGTTTGCGCTGAGTAGAGACGAACACATGTATATAGTTGATTCGGGAGGTAATCCGACTCTGAAGTTCGGGATCACTTGGGCGGAGATACCGATAGCTCTGGCCAGCGATCCTCCTTACATTTTGGCCATTCTGCCCAATTCCGTGGAGGTGAGAACTAGCGAGAGGCGGATGCTCATTCAGAATATTGAGATGAAAGGACCGAGAATAATAGTTCCTTGCAAGAAAGGTTTTATATTTATTGCATCTTTAAATACCGTTTGGTGTCTTTGCGCAGTTAAATTACAAAATCAAATACATCAGTTATTAAACGAAAAAGAGTTTGAATTAGCCATGAGACTTGTAAACATGACAGATTATTCTTACGATTTAAAGCAACATTATATTCAACATATTCAAAATCTATATGCGTTCGATTTATTTTGCAAAGGGGAATTTAAAGAAGCCATGAGCATATTTCTAAAGTTAGAAACGGATCCTTCGCATATAATAGGATTATTTCCCGATCTGTTACCTAAAAATTACGTTAACAAACTAGAATATCCGGATAAATTAACCGAATTTCATGGTATCGATCTAGAAAACGGTCTTCTTTCTCTAACAGAATATTTAATACAAGTTCGGCACGAACTTATGGGAAATTCAAGAGAGGATTTATCATCTCTGACGAGCATTAAGGAAGGAATTAAAACAATTTCCTCCAAGAAACAGCTTTTAGAAATAATTGACACTTCTCTCCTGAAATGCTATCTGCAAACAAACGATGCTCTTGTTTCTTCTTTACTAAGAGTTCAAGATAATCATTGCAATGTAGAAGAATCCGAAGAAGCACTAAAGAAGTTTCATAAATATAGCGAACTGATCATTCTTTATCAGCGGAAGGGATTACACAGGAAAGCGCTAGAATTTCTAGTTGAGGAATCTAAAAGAATAGATTCTCCTTTCAGTATGGGTGACGAAATAGTGAGATATCTACAGCACTTAGGTGAAGAACACTTAAAACTAATTTTTGAGTTTTCTGAATGGATATTAGAGAATCATCCTAATAATGGTTTAAAAATATTTATCGAAGACTTGCCTGAAGTAGAAAGCTTACCGAGGATAGAAGTATTAAATTACTTAAGCGAAAAACATCCGAAGCTTACTATACCGTATTTAGAACACATCATTCACGTGTGGAAAGATATGAATTCGCATTTTCACGATAAGCTAATTCGCGAATATTGTAATAGCATTCGTGGCATGATGAAAAAGTATCTCGACTGCTTGCCCGAAGGCCAGCTGCCCGTTCAAGCCGGCACGGAACCGGGCGAATTAGGGAGTCTTAGAAGCCGACTGATTACTTTTCTAGAGGAATCGGAGCATTATTCCTTGGACAAATTTCCGGCATTTCTTTTAAAAGATCGTCTTTACGAGGAAGCTGCCATCGTGAAAGGTAAACTAGGAAAACACGAGGAAGCTTTAATAATATACACACACATATTACAAGCACCGGAGAAAGCAGAGAGATACTGTATAAAAAATTATAAATCCAGAAACGAAGACGAACAGATATTTTTCTTTCTTATTAAAATGTACTTGTGCGATTATAATAAATTAAATTTGAAGTTCTTATCAGCAGCAGGAATCAATATACCAATTATAAGAACAGATATCAAAAAAAGCTTACAACTCTTAAAAAAATATGCAAGTAATATAGATCCGCTAGAGACATTGTCAATTCTTCCTTCTACCGTCTCTCTGAACGAAATAAAAGAATTTCTGACGTACACGCTAAAGAAAACCGAATCGGAAAGACACGCGACGCAACTGGTGAAAAGTTTGTTAGCGGCGGAAAATTTGCAGGTCAACATTCTCAGGATCCGATGCCAGTCTTACAAATTAGTGATCACCGAACTCGACGTGTGTAGGGTGTGTAAGAAACGAATAGGAACGAGCGCTTTCGGACGCTTCCCGAACGGCGTCATCGTTCATTATTCTTGTAAAGAAAAGTATAATTTTAGATAATTTACAGTAATTTGAATTAAGTTGTAATTATTTGTAATTCAATGTTGAATGCTTTATCATTGTAAAAAAAATTTTAAAGAGATTACTAATAATGTAAGTATAAAATACTTCAATAAATACTGTTTGAACTAAGACAGACGAAAATGTGAAAGATTACAATTTATTTATACTATCAGAAATTGTTCTGAAAATAAATCCAACATGACAATAAATTTACAATTTACTTTCATTTTTTTTTTTGTTTCTTTTGGCAGTAATTTTAATTTTATGACATGCAGAAATAAACACACAACTCTACTTATAATTTGCAAATAACAGCTCATTTTCAACATAAGTCCATTATAGTTTGTTCCCAAATTGTGTTAAAATTATATTAAAAAAACAATAAAATTGTACATTTAACAAAAATAATTTAAAAATGGATTTTAAGTTGCACATCAATAAAATGACGGTATATACAATATGGGGTTAAATAACTAAGTCGTTATATCTTCTTTTATTTATAGACGTCGTCTTTTCAAGATAAATTACATAATTTGAAATGGAGAAGGCACTTTTAGTTTAAATTTGGAAATAAAATACAGAGAAAGTTTAGATATTTATGACAAATTTTTTTCCATGACATTGATGCTTTGCTAATTAAATCTGACAAGCAATGTAATTTTTTTTGTAGATGTTTGTTTACGTAGGAAAGAAAACAACATTTTGCTGTACATAAAACTGTATTAAAGCAGTTTTTTTTTTAATATTTAAAAACAAATAAATATGATTGTAATGGCTGGTCCACAAAATTTCATGATAATTGAGATCCCAATGCATTTTCACACTAGAAGCAATCCTTTTTTCTTTACATAATTTTCATTTTTATAACTTGTTCACTATGTATATATTGTCGTGCGAGGGATTATTTTTGTCGTAATCCAATTTCCAAGGTAACTGAAATAATTCGGGAGGTAGAGGAGGGCAATGAGTAGAGTCAAAGTCTATCATATGTTTCTGAGCCTAGAAGTAATATTTAATTAAATTAAGGAAAAGAAATTAATAGAAATTTTAAATAAAATTGAGACAAAAAACTAACTTACCAAGAATAAAATTAATTGTATTTTAGTTGATAAAGGCATTCCTTCTCCTACAAGGAAAAGAATGTTCATAAATAAGTTTTATATTAAGATTAAATAAACACTGATTTTTTTTTCTTTTTAATACCTATATGCATCGGGAAAAATGGGTAGTTTTCTTCGGCATATGATTTTAAAGTAGCAAGGCACAAATCTTCTTCAACACCTTGTTGATTCCAGAGTTCAGCTATTTCAGAAAAAAAAAAAAAAAAAAAAGATAATATAAGGAAAAGTCCTATAATTAATCTTTTATATATTAAAAGATAAAAAGAACCAACATGCATTTTAAAAGGAAAAATGCAATGATACTTATAGATAAGAGTTTTTATCTGCTCAATTATGTAATTTTTTTTAATATTTGATAATATTACTGAAGAAACAATTTACTGTTAATAGATTAAGTTCTTAGTTTATACACACACAAAAATATTATATATATATATGTTACAGTCAAAACCCGTTTTTAGTTAGAACGCGTTTTAACTAGTTGAAACTAGTTTATACTGAATGTCTTTGTTAAAACCAGTTTTGTCTAGTTAAAACTAGAATTTACTGCTAGTCAAAAATTAATTTGAGTTAAAACTAGTTTTAACTAGACAAAACGGGTTTTAACAAAGACATTCAGTATAAACTAGTTTCAACTAGACAAAACGGGTTTTAACAAAGACATTCAGTATAAACTAGTTTCAACTAGACAAAACGGGTTTTAACAAAGACATTCAGTATAAACTAGTTTCAACTAG